TAATAATTTAATATAATTTAATAACATTATATAATAATATGAATTAATATAAACAGCTTTTATAAAAAGTTAATTACTTATTTAATTAATAAATGAATGTATTTACATATGAATAATGATGCATATGGAATTTTGTTAGCTATGGTAATGCAATAATTTATAATCATTAAAATTTTTTATTACTTTGTTTTTTTATATCTGGTTATAGTTATGAAATTTTTTTCAAGCTCCTATATGGAATTCACAGCTAGATTTTTAGTTTAAAATTTTAACCTTGACTTATCAGTTAAGATTAAAATATTTTAATATTTTAAAATGAATAAAAAGTTACTATATTTCTAAAAATAAAAAAAAAATTAAAATAGACAATACAGTCCTGAGTTAAAATACTCAATCAAAGTAATGAATTAAGACTTGAAACATTTAAACCATAAAAAAGATGTTTATTTTACATAATTGACAAATAACTGATCCCATTGAATAATTTACTATTAAATTTAAAATTTTTTATCTCACTATTGGAGTAAAATTTATTTTTACTCCAATAGTGAGGTAAAATACTTTATGCTGTTAAAATTAAGCACTTAAACTTTGACTGAATCAAAGTCAGTGGCGTAGCATAGTGTAGTAGGGGCGGCAGGGGTGGCTCGCCCCGGGCAGCACTTTTAGGGGCCGGCAAAATTTCACAATAGATAATAATAATATCTTCTAAAAATTTGAACCATTTCATTTCATATTTTTGTCGCACCTATGATTTGGACCGATTGAAATGAGCACAGAATTTTTTATTACTTATTCTGTGACGAAACTGGATTTTAGTCTTTTAAATTGAGATACCTAAATACACCCATGGCTGACACCCACACTACGCTACTGATCATAGTTTTATGATTTTATTAATTAATTTATTAATAGATTTCTGCATTTTTAAATAATTACAGAAATGAGAAGATTTAAATTTAAATAGAATGTATGTATATAGCTTCTACCTGAATCAAAATATAAACTGAATTCAAAACTTTTATTTCATTTTAATTGATTTAATTACAAGTTAAGGGAGAAAATTTCATAACTTTTGATTCATTTAGGTTTAAGATTACAATTTTAATTGTATTTTACTATTTATCTTTAATTTATTTAACTTCTTTGTTGGAGTGCTTCTTAGCATCAAAAACTGATAACTTCTCTCAAGTACTTTCAGGCTACTGTGCCCATCTTCAGGAGAATCAATCTGTAGCCTGTAAAAAATAATTTTAGAACATCTAGTTTTATTTAAAATCATTCCACTGAAAGTTGAAAATCTCAATGCTTCTACTGTTCAGTAGTGTTGAAGGTATTTGGGAGAGGTCATCAGTTTTTAATGCTAAGAAGCACTCTAACAAAGCAGTTAAAAGTAAATAGTAATGTAAAGTTGGAATTAATATTATTGGTATTTTACATTACTCATTTGATGATAGATATGGTCCTGATGATCCTGAAGTTTATCCATGGGAGGAAATAAAATCTAGAGAAGAAGACTGGTGTGAAATTCATTTTTCAGAGTAAGATTATACAGCAGTATATATTAATTTAATAGTAATTTAATGTAAATAAATTGTTTTTGGAAAATTGAGGATCTCACATATTTTATATAAACATAAAAAATTTTGCATAATTTTTAATGTTCATCTTTTCTTATTTACAAAATATTAGTAATAGAATTTAATTTGGTTTGGTAATATGAATTTAAGTTTAAATTAAAATTTAATATTAACTAGTTAATTTTAAAAGTCTGAATATACTGTATTTTAAATATATGCAGTCAAATCTTAATTTAATGTCATATTTTTTTGTTTGTTCCTGAAATTCGCACTAAACCAGATGTGCACTAAACTGAAAAATCTCAAAGAGATTTTGAGTCATGATTTGATGATGATAATTTTTTGTAATGTTTTTGTTATATTTAATTTTTTTCACTATTGCTGTCAAATGAAATCAATATTACCATAACAAGGAAACTAAAATGTTACTTTAAATAAAAATAATGGAAAATAAAATAAATTTGATGTTAAATCGGGTTTTTTTTTTTGTAATACAAAATCTTCATTACTTTTAACTATCATTTTCATTTTTGGTTTTTTCCCCTGAGATATTTTATTCAAATATTTCATATCAGTCAGTGAACCCAATGTAGAAGTTGCATATGTAAAAATTCTAAAACATAACAAGGTTAATATTCTGATAACAGACATTTTTTTGTTGATTGGTAAGGAAGCATGCCAACTTATTACACTGGGAGTAAGAAAACTGGATTTTAAAAAAATCTATTGATATATTTTATTATTAACTATTGATTTATTTTTAAAATTATTTGGAATGGATATTTTTAATTCATCATTTTCAGTCTATGATTAATGTGTGTTAATTTTTGATTTTAAGATATATTAATAAAAAATTTAATATTTCTGATTTTTTGTTTTTATAAAATATTTCTAAGATTTTTATCATTATCAAAATTACTCTGTATTATATTTTTAGCCAAATAACATCTCCATCATCAAATGAATTTGAAATAGAATATTATGAAGAACACAAAGAATATTTGAAATACAGGTAATTTGTAATTAGATTTTTATAGTGATTTTATTTACATCATATCAATATATAGTAGAAACTTGTTAATCTGGCACTGATAATTTGGAATGTTTTGCTACCTTGCATTCTCTGAAAAATCACTAATAATCCAGAATTTCCAATAATAATTCAGTATGCTAGTATTCTATGAATTGGAATTTATTTGGACATGGGATGCATTAAAAACCTTGTACATAAATATAGTACATCTTTAAAGTAAATATTATTTGCAGATAAATCATTATGAATATCGATTTTGTGCAATAATGTATTTGTAAGTGTTTGTAAGTGTTTTTGCTGGTTTTCAATCAATTGTAACACAGTATTAGACATTGCAAATTCACTCCTGGTCGAAATTATAAATTCATAGCTAAATCTCTACTGGAAAGATAGGTCTCGACTAGCACAACCATTACTATAAACACCACAAAAAGTATACACACTCATTTACATATATTAATTTACATCACATACAAGAAAATGAATGTAAAACCTTATTGGTAATAAAAATATGCTTAAAACCCCTTGGTCAAAAATCAGGAGTCATAGCAGTAACTCCCTGCCACATAAAAAAGTCACTGACTGACTAATATACAGAGTTGTCAATTTTCAGGATTGATTTCCCTGCCCCCAAACAACTGAAGTAATTCTGAATACAGTAATACCCCGAACTTATGCGATAGATGGGACCGAGCGGTAACCGCGTAAGTCAAATTCACGTAAGTCAAGGTATAATTTCGCATATAAATACATACAAATAATTTTTAATTGGGGCCGGAGACTAAAGAAAACAATAATTTAGAAAAAAATGTTTAATAAAATCTTAGATAATACATATGTATAACAAATTAGGCCTATATTATTTTACAATTTTTCACATTTACTTGATTATTACGCCATAATTTTAACATTGTTTCCATCTCAGCGATAATACTGTGACGTTTATGAATGATGCTTGAATTTAAAGATTTTTCACAGCTTCGAGAATTTTTTCTTTGCCTTTTATAATTGTTCTGACCGACAATTCCGGTAGATCAAACTTCTTTGCCAATTCACAAATTTTCATTTTTGTATCGAAGTCTTTAATAATGGGTACGTTTGTAAAGTCAAATGAGTTAAATGCGTTAGTAACGAATCGTTCGAAAAGTCTAACGAAATAAGAATAACAATGACTTCATTCTCGCTTAACTCATTTGACTTTACGAACATACCAATGTTAACTTTACATTCCAAAGATAAAGATCTTTTCTTGTTTGATGCAGAAGAATTAGTTCTACTTTGTTTGGATGACATAGTAGAGTCTCTCGAGTCTCCGTAGATATAACAAACACAGAAATAAATAACACAAAATAAATTGTAGCTATGTGTGGATTCCGCGCGACACATCCGAACATGTAAGCTGAACAATACTGTGGGGGGAGTGAGTAATCAAGGGTTGCGTGGCGCTCAAACAAAAGACGAATCGACGAGATTTGAAAATCGCATAACTCCGGGTTTGTGTAAGTCAGGGTATTACTGTATCTTGTTTGAAAGAAAATTGTTTCTTAGGTAATGTGCAAAATTTCAATTTTTTCTATAATGCAGTTGCCAAAACATAAACAATTGAAAAGTGAAAAATTGCCAAAAAAAAAGCTGTATTTTCTTCTTTTTCTTCATTCAGCAATGCAGATGCTCATAGATAAAATCTAGAAAGCTGGGTCTAGAAAGCTTACATTTTAAACTTTTTGGTCAATAGATCAAAGTTCACAGGGTTTCCCATAGAGCTAATTCAGTTTTAAGGCTTAATTTTATGCTTATAAAGATAAAATTGCATTGAAACAAATGAATTTTATTCAAAATATTACTCAGAATTACAAAAGCTCAAATTTATGCAAATTAAAACTTTTTATAATGATTTTTCTAAACAGCATATCAAAAGCATTGTTTGGCGACATGTTCAGTTGGCACCAACCAAAATGAATATTGAAAGCATTCTGTTGGTGGCACATTCAGTCATTAAGTGCTAACTGAATTGTATGTCATCATCATATGTTTTGACATAATAATACAATTATTAAACAAAAACAATTGATATCCAAATAAAAGCATCTGAGATGTAAAAAAATTATGCCAAGTAAACCTTTATGACAATTTAGACAATGACCAAAATTTTTATTAGCAGTTTTTCTTTGGTAAAGCTTGGTGCTTGGAAATGGTACCCACAAGATTTTTATCTGTATTATTGTTTTTACATCTCAGATGTTTTTGTTTGAATATAAACTTGCCCCTAAGCTTTGTATTAATCTACAGATATGTTAAAAGTCAGTTAATATTGTTTCAGTAAGTACTGTTTACAATAAATCCACAGGCAACATGCCTTGAGGAACAGAGTAAGAATTTAGAAATATTTTTATGAAATTTGAATTATTTGAAACTTTCATATAGCATTTAATATAAATTAATTACATTCATAAACTATATAATATGATTTGTTCATGATATCATTTTTATTTCTTTAACAGAACTATTGATTTAACAAAGGAATTATTAACTCAGTGGTATTCCCAACGTGCTAGAGAAATAGAGAATTTAAGCTGTTGTGTAGAGAATGCACTAGAATTGATTAAATTAGGAAGAGAAAGAAATGTTCAAGTAAAAAAAGTCAAATTTTTANTTAAACATATTGAATTTTTCTCAAATTATTGGCTCTGTCCATTATAAATATTGAAACATAACTGAAAAAGTATTAATAATTTTTGTTTCAGATATTAGATAGGCTGCAAATTAACATTTTCTATTACAATGAAAATAAGAAACTTTTATTATCTAAATTCATTTTTTAATTAAATTTTCCATTATAATGATTACATAAAATTATTTATAGATAAACATATGTACAGTACAAATATATACTCACAGGTGCATCTTAAGAATAATTTAACTGCAAATTACATCTTAAAAGATATGTTTCAAGTCAAGTTTTGTAATGATTGTTTAAGAAATAATGCTCTTCAATTTTCTTTCCATATATTAAATATTGGAAAGAAAATTAAACAAAATATTTGGTTATAGAAAATATTAAAAATAATAATTATAACAATAATAATAATAATAATAATAATATCGTTTCTTCTAAAAATATCACGTCTAAAAATATCCCTTCCTGCCTTCGGGATATTTCAAAAATCATCTTAAAATGTGCAAATTTAAATTCATATTTAGAGATAAATTTATAACAAATTAATATAAAAAAAAAGGGATAAGAGTGGATGGAGTAAGGCAAAACAACACACTGTCAAGAGGATAGGGAAACTGATCCTTATTTAAGTATTATGTACACGAAAATTCCCTAAAACGTGCTTGTCAATTGGAGTTTTCACGTGCTCGTCAATAGTAGTGGGTTCGTACCTCTTCAACAC